CAGAATCAAAGCAATCATCAAGCCAGTGGAAAACTCCAACTTCACCACGACCGAAGAAAGCGCGTCAAGTGCGATCCAATGTGAAAACAATGTTGATTTGTTTTTTTGATGTGAATGACATTGTCCACAAAGAGTTCATTCTGCCAGGACAAACAGTGGACCAACATTTTTACCTGGATGTGTTACGAAGATTATGAGAGAGTGTTTCTGTCATTTCTTCCTGTCGAAGGATGCTCGGGGCGTGGCATGTTTTCTGTTGACATGTTGCCAGATTTGAAATGGGGAAACCACTCGTAGACCTGTGATTTCCCCAAAGCATCATCATTAAAGGCTTGCCGAAGCATCCCAACAGTCTCGGCTGCAGTTTTCCCTAACAGAAAGCAAAATTTCACACACACTCTTTGTTCCTTCTGGTCGGCCATCTCACTAATTGCCAAAGGGTTGAAACAGGAACGCACACAACAGAGCACCACAGACAAACCACTTAACTCAGACTGATGCCAGCTCACTAACAGTCGCGGGAGACCCCCAGCTAACACCACCTAGCAGCACAACTCGTAACTACAAAGCATGAGCGCGCAACAGGTCAGTTCCAGTTATTTTTGGGTCCCCCTTCGTATAAAAATGAATGAAGATACGACTAAGGGGATCTACTTCTCTTGTAGTCGTTGATCACCTGAGTCTTGTCTTACATTAAATGGACAAAACATTTCATTTGTAAATATTGCAAAATATCTCAATGTAATCTTTGATAATAAAGTTACATGGAGATAGCACATAGAAATGAACAAAGCCAAGGACTTCAGAATATTCGCTGGAATATATTTCCAAATACAAAGTGAGCGATTGAGCGCTAATATTAAATTGACCCTCCACAAAGCTGTCATTAGATCTGTAATGACTTAACCTAGCCCCGCCTGGGAATTTGTGGCAGATACTCATCTAATGAAATTGCAGCAACTGCAAAACAAGGTTCTCTGCACCACTGGCAATCTTCCAAGGTGCACGCCAGTTTGCAATTTGCAAATGGCATTCAAAATTCATTATTTATATGATTATATAACAAAATTATGAAGGCAACAAGCAGTGGTCATACAAAATCATGATAATGAGAATGTTCACCATACTGTACAAGGCAAAGCCTGACGTAGAATGTATAAGATTCTTAAACTTGGCGGCAGTCAAGCGTACAACTGTTCAAGTGAGTAGACTGCCATTGTAGTGGAAGCTACTAGAAATACAGCATAATCTGCTGTACTGAGCCTTGCCTGACAGAGGCTTTATGTATATTGTACATTGTATATATATTATAGAATTACTTAATAAGAGTAAACTTGTAAATAACTGTACATACTTACAATGGACTAATACTACCGACTGTCACTGACAAATGACAGACCCAACCTCTCATCTGAGATGGTGCCTCACATGGACAGGACAGTAACTTTCAAACAAGAATGAATATCTGGTCCCAAACCTGAGGGCTCAACAACAAGACAGACAGACTGACCAAACATCAGTTGGAATGTGACTCTGACTTTGGCTGGTGTTAGCATCAGTCGCAAGACAACAGAACAAGAGAATGCCGCAAAAGCAAGTCTACTAGTAGTATCTTGCAGGAACGCCGACTTCTATCACCAAACTACTGCAAGAATGAACACCAACACTAGCGTTCGCTATCCCCCTGTGATGATAGCTTCACCTGCATCCCGCAGGCTCTCTGACTTGCAATCACCAAGGTGCTGCAAGGAAGAACACTGACAATAGCACTGGCTATCCTGCGGCCATGAAGGCTTCACTCAGCATCCTGCACACATGCCTACTCACAGTCTACGATCTGCTGCAAGGAAGAACGACACTACCACCGCCTAGTCTGCTGTCACAAGAGCTTCACCTGGCATCCAGCAGGTGTGCCCCACATCCGACAAATGACCCTTTTCTCGGACAATATCACTGCCGTCACTAGCTCAGACTAGCCCCCTATGGAGGGAGTTTCTGCTCGTATTCAACACACATGCTCTGCTTCCCTGTTTGTCTGTAATATTCATTCCATCAGCAATAAACATTTGTTACAGTTTGACGTGGTTGTCTCTTTGGGCATCGACATCTCATAATGTGAAGCAACCTAGTCGTTTGTGGGTTTGTACTATCTACAATGGGTGTTTGATGGAACCTTGGAAAATGAGTTTAGTTTTGCAACTGATGATGCTTCTTCTGAACCAGAGATTCTATGTAATCATGGAAACTGGTTTCCTAGTCCTGATTTCCATGATGAGCCAGTAAATAGATAGACAATATGGGAACCTTACATCAAAATAAAGGGGAGTTTGTGTTCAAAATAAAGAAGGCAGAACTAAAGAAAGGTGTACATATATTGGTCTGGAAAGACGAAACAAAAAGGCAAAAAATTATAATAAAAGTTGCCTTATAAGTACCATAGTAATCACAAAATTGTTCCAACTGGAGACTTCAACAAGCTCAAGTAGTCACTGACTATTAGCTGAGAATAGAGGATCTAAGTGGCACCTTCTTGACATGGTACTGCAGCACTACAAAAACTACAGGAAGGTCCAATGTTGTATTAAACCTTTCCATTCGTAGTGTTTAGAAAAATTTCCGAAGCCAGGTCATCATGGGTTTTTAAATGCCTGCCAAGCCACTAAGTGAACTGCTTTGCCTGAAAAGTTGGTGCAATAAGAGCATAAAGTTAAAAAGCCAAATGTGTCCTTACATTTTTTATTGTCCAATTCTTGGCCCAACTCAACACTGCTATAATACCTGTTAGTGAAATGGTGGTAGTGTTCAATACCAGACACACTGAGTCATAGTCTGTCCATCAAGGAAAGAACTATTCTTGAAATGAACAGCTTTTCTGAGTATGGTAAGTTACACACGTAGCCTGTAAGTTTTTTGTATCTCGCAATTATATTGTGAACATAACCATTGTCACTTTCAGCTAATGCAAATAATCTAATGCCTCACTTCATTGCTCTTTTGGATTATAAGTTCCAAAAATTATTTTGAGCTTGAACCAAACTGTTGATTCATCCGTTACAATGTTTTTACCAGACACAAACCTTTTCTGAAATTGTTTATCTGTTTTATCACCCCATGTACTTTCTTGTCTTTTTGATGGCCCAATTGCTTTATTTGGTGCCACCATTTCCTCACGTGCATCATCACCCATTGTCTCGTCTTCTCACCCATCAACATGCACAACACTTGTTTCACTCTTGCTCTCACTTTCCTACATCTCATTGCTTGACTCTTCACTTGCAGTTTCTCCTTCAATTTCCAAATCCATTCCATCATCAGAGTCAATATCATGTTCTTCACTTAACACACCACTACTAGATTCTTCATCCATGTCACACAAGAGATTATACCTAGCTTCTTCAATTCAGAGGGCTGTGGTTCAGCTGAACGTAAAAGCTTGCTACTAACACATGACAAGTCGTAATGTACAAATGAAATTCGTTCCTCAAGAAGTTCAAATTATGACTTCCAGCTGGCAGGAGGCAGACAAAACATTCCTTCATGCGTTAGTATAGTCCATGATGCCAACTAGTGATGTATGATCGAAATATGACTGTAGAAACGTGAAATGAACTTTGTCGATAGTACATCAATATTTGTCCATGGAAGCACAGTCACTGTATTGATTTCATATCGACATTTGACTGGAAAGGGTTAACAACATCTGTCATCTGAATCCCAATTTATTTACTAAAAAATAAAAAAGAGGCAGCATTTCCAGGTTAGAATTTTGGAATAAAATTACTGTGAAGACAGCTTTGACATGTAACAAAACTGAAGAAAAAGCACCATGCATACCCTCAAAAACTGCCTCAATGTTAGGAATGAAGGCACCTCACCTCTCCTATATTGTCGTCACCGATTCAACCGAAAATGTCTATTGCATCATGTGAGCAACAAAATGTGTCAATCTCACGAAACACTATATGGCTGTTAAGACCGTGTTACACCCACTTTCCAATGTTAAGTTAAAGTTGTTAATTACTAGAGGAGTGGCAATGAAACAAGGCTAAACAAGCGGCTAATTTGTGTTTGAAGGTAAGATTTACTATTTAGGAATTATACTATAGCCTGGTATTCAAAATCAGTAATTACAAAGTAATACACAATATGTGCCATGAAATATGCAACTATGTTTCTGACATGTTTCTTTGAATACCGATTCAAGAGTTTGTACAACATAAGGACTTTGCACTTTGTTTAGTTCATTTATTGACAGCAACTGGGAAGGAAGCAGAGACTGAGTTGGCACATTAACCTTTATGAGCCAAAAGACACCATATGGGGACCTTTAAATTAAAGCCGAGATGGCCAAAGGACACCATATGGGTATGCGCAGTCCACGCGTGCGCACAGTGTTTTAAAATCAATTTTAAGATAGAAATTCTTGTTCTACTTACATTATTTTTGGACACCAGCTTTATAAGTAGACTGTCTTCCCTCCTGCATCATCTAACTGAATGTTGCATGTCACTGAATGCAGAGTCTGACGTCGCAATTCATGCACTTTGTCCGTAATTAACTCTGTTTTCCACGCAAAGCGCGCACACGCAATGCTAGTCTCGCATTAGCAGGAAGTAAGCCAGTGATGGCGAGTGGTGTCCTCTATTCATAACGCTTATAAAACATCACAATTTCAACTATGCACCATGGCCCCTTTTCACACTGAAGAAGTCAAAATTGAGAGGCCACTCGTAAATCACACCATTCAGAATGCGTTACAGTTTATTCTGAAGGGACATGGAAGCAAGTGGTATGAGGTGATATTCCAAGAACTGCCTCTGTGTGGATAGTCCAACATACATGAATAAACAAACAGAGTTTCATAAGGCAATGTAGGATAAGAACTCCCCCCACACTCGGGTATACAGAAGCTATTGCCAGATAAAAAACACAGACAGTGTGTCAGCACCATTCATTTATACTGCAGAAACGTATTGTGCAGAAGCTTTATGCATTTTCGTGGACAGACGCTCAAAATTAGGGAAATTTTTTTTTGGAATCAATGTAACAATTTTTACAGATTCTAAAATCTGTAAATTACAGTATCTGATTCTATATACTCTCTAGATAAAAGTAGCGTTTATTTCGTTTATCACAAAAATTGTAGAATCACAGCATTTTGAGTAACATGATTACAATTTTTATTACTTTACAATGGCGGGCATTTAAATTAACTCCATCCCACTGCCACTACCGGAATTTAAATGGCCCGTCCCATAAAGGTTAATAAAACCCTGTTACCAACAAGTCAGCTAAAGCTAGAGTTCATTGTGAAATTTTGGGCTAATAAGAAACTGAATGTGTTTTGACCATAACTTGTTTTATCAGTCACTTGCTTGGGTTGTATTTCACTCTTGGACCCTGGTCAGGACTGCAAGTCATGAATGTGCATGAGTCATACATATATCTGTGATGACATATTCAAACTCAAAATACATCAGTGGTGACAGCAGTGTAAACATTTAGAATAAAACAAGAAGTTCTGGGAAGAACTAATCACCTACTTTCCTCTCTCAGGAAAGGTATCGCATAAACCTAATTTACTAAAGTTAAAAAAAAATCAAATTTTATGAAAGGCATGTACAGACAAATATACAGACATATAAACCACATCAATTGGTGATATCTAACAAGGTTGTGACAGGCTCAATACATATCTCAAACTAGGGAAACAAATGCATACAGAATGTTCTGGGAAAAGGCTGCTTGGGAGGCCAAGATGGGAGGGTAACAATGAGATGGATTTTAAGGAGACAATAAGTTGTGAGAATAGGAAGTGAATAGAATTACATAAAGATCATAGAAAATGGTAGGCTTTAATATATCAGTCATGCCAAGCCTCTGGGTTCTGCTGGAAGAGTCAATTATCTGTTAGAATAACTGGCTCTAATGCAAACTGCAAACAATAAGTTCTGGGAAGAAGTAATTGCCTACTTTCCTATGATTGAACATGATCAACACAGAAAAATAAATATTGGTGATGGAATACATAGCAACTTAAAGGTAAGTTCATAAGCCTAAAATATTATGGGGAGTATGCAGAGAGCAATGTGATCTCATAAGCCTCTTCTTATTCTTTCAATGCAAGGAAATAGGCTAAAAACATTCATTAAGGCTATAATATTTTCACGTGTTTGGGTGTATAATGCAACAAATAACTTCACGCCGTATTTGGTATAGCGAATTTTATTTCACATTCGCACTTACAATCACCCAAATTACAGATTCACAATTACTGCTATCTGCAGTATCACAAATACTACACTCCAAATGCCAGAATACAACTGACTGGTTGCTGGCTAACTCGGAACTAACTCGGAGGTAGCTTGAGGACTGAGAACTAACTTGTAGGTAGCTGCCTTGAGAACTCACTGTGAATAGCCTTCGCTGCTCCTTATGTAGCCTCGATCGGACAATACAGAAAACGGCCACGTAATACGCACCACTATGTCTGGTGCCATCGTGCCAGCAACGCTGTGTACTGCTGTTACTACCGTCGTCTCTCGCAACTACTGTTTACCCGCGCTGCCTAGCAACCGCGATATCCCTTGGTGACGTCACCGCTGTTGACTCACGTTGCATAGCTACCAGGTTGCGGGACTCGGCTAACTTCGGCTCCGCTCAGCTCACTTCAGCTTCGCTCGGCGCGTCAGCTCCGGGGGGGGGTTCCAGCTAGCGCGACACGTCACATTATGTTTTTTTCAGTGCCATAAAACATGATACTGGTATCAGGGAAAAATTACAGAAAACAGTAGTCAGTATCCTTGAATATGGCTTGTGTAAGCTTTGATGTTTATAAAATAAAAATAAAAATCTAGTCAAAGTTACTGAGTAAATGAATACAAATATAATGCTCTGCGCACAATCAGTTACATTGCAAGGTCTCCGAAGAATAGCATATGAATTTAGATTATGGGAGCTATAACTGCACAGCTTACCATTTTCCTTAAAATTTCAAATTTATCTCATTTTTATAACAGGGAATGAAAGAATTTTTGTTCCTGCCTTTACACCACATAGCCTCATACATACACATTTGCGTTTCTTTAAAATATTCATAAATGTACCACCGCCACCGAATATAAAACATGTCAACAAGCAAACAAAACATTGGACACTTATATATACACAAATAAAATCACTAGCATATATAATCCATACTTGTCAAAAACACATACAATAGTTAAAAGGCAATACAAATTGCAGCAAGTATATTGTGACATGTTGCGCAAAGCCGAGCCCCCCCCACCAGCAGTGACGCAGTGGGTGAGTCAGCGCTCCCCTCCCACCCCTCAGCAGTAACGTAACGCTCGCGTAATAGGCGAGTAATCACCCCGCATCCTGGCAGCTATGCGCGGTGACGTCACGAGCGGAGCCGAAGAGAGCCGAGCGGAGCCGAAGATAGCCGAGCCCCCGCTACCTGGTAACAATGCAAGGCGAGTCAACAGCGGTGACGTAACAGGATGACGTGGCACTCATTACGCAACCGGCAAGCACTGCAGCTATATAAGTAAGCTGCACAGCTGGTACCAGTCAGTTCTAATGTGGCTACCGCAGAGTTCTACTGTAGCAGTCGGCGACTTCAGTTGTACTGAGACAGTCAGCGAGTCCTGGAGCTACCGCCAAGTTAGCCAGCAACTAGTCAGTTGTATTGTGGCATTTTTCAGTGTACTAATTGTGATACTGCAGATAGCAGTAATCGTAAATCTGTAATTTGGGTGATTGTATGAGCGAATGTGAAATAAAATTCGCTACATCGAATACATCGAGAATTTATTTGTCGCGATATACGCCCGATACGCGACAATATATAAGCACAGCCAAGGACATATGCAGGTAAGTTTCTCACACTACAAAGTCTGGAAATGTGTGGTTTCTAACTGACATTTATCTTCAAGCCTCACCTTAAGATAGCATTTATCCTTGCAGCTGGATCTTGATGGTGTAGACCATGATGCATTATGTCCATTGCTTGATTAGGAGCCCTTACAGCTGCTAAGATGAAAAGGGATGCAGCAGTGGCAGCTACCTCTTGGTTTGCCTCCAGCAAAAGTTCCCATGTTATGGGCAAAATGTCCACAAAATTATCTTCAGAAAGAATAACAGCCCCTTTCAATAGGACTGCCAGTGGTGCGTGGAATATATCACGAACCTGCACATAAACAATCAGTATACCTTTGTAGCATTTATCTGCTCTATGCTTCATAACACTCAAACTCCTACTGTTATTTAAAAGTAAGAAAAGAAATTCTGATATATTACATTAAAGCCTACCGCAACATTCAGACAAAACTATCAAGAGAAGTACTACAAGCAATAATGAAGGCAAATATATCATGGTATTTCATTCTTTGATGGCTCACTGGTAATGCAACAGCACTTTCAAAGATGCAGAATCATTTCTGGTATTATACAAACGATAAATTGTGTTTATCACACATAGAATCAACTTAGGTTAAAAAAACAACATTTAGACCCACACTGTAAAAATTAAACAAATCTCATATATTCAAGAATTTGAAAATAATGGATTTCTCAATCATAATAAAAACAAATTTTAATCTTAGTTTCCATTAGATTAATTTTTAAAACACAAAAATGTTTCTTATTACAGGAAATCAGCATTATTTATTCAAAGTTATCTGTTACATAGCTGTTGGAACAATCAGCCCATTGGCTGCATGCACGCACGCACACACACACACACACAACCAAAAACAATGCACAGCACAAGCAGAGTAATTAGCCTAAAACCAAAAAGACATATATAAAAGAAATCAACATATACACTAACATTAATGAACCACAAGAAACACAAGTTTCAAACCATGTTAAAGAAAATTATAAGATTACAAAAGAAGTTTGGAGAAGTTGAATTGGTTGGTAAAGTTGAGAAGATAGCAAGAAAACTATGGGTTACACAGGAGATGATGAGTAAAATGGAGGAGCGAAGGAAAGGGAAGACTGTAAACAATGAAGAAGGCAGGAGGAAATACAGGAGACTGAGGAATGAATTGAAAAGCGCCACGGACAGGGCCAAAAAGGGATATCTTGAGAAGATATGTAATGAGATTATGGAATTTCAAAGAACAGGACTTTATGATTTGATGTACATGAAGACAAAAGAACTAGGATGGAAAGAGAACCATGGGATTCAAAATATTGGCATCGAA